GTCTTCTCATTGCTATGTATCAACACTGCAGAACAACATAAATTGATTCCATATTCAGTGCTGCAAAGCCAGCAATATATCTAACGCTTTCAGGATGAATGGCTCCTGTTGTTTCTCTGTGGGATTTTCATTTCTTCTTGCTCCTAAGATGAGCATGATACTTGCAGGATTTCCTAAGGGCTTATAGTATATCATTTCCTAAGCCTGTTGTGTGTCATCCTGATGCTGTGACTGATGTCCTGCAGCCCTGAGGACAGCCCGTCACCAAAGGGGGGTGAGCAAACACAGTCGCTGTCTGTGTGTCCTATTACAGCCAGGACCAGGAGAGGAAAATGAAGCCCATGCTCTGTAGTGAGCCTGGTAACATGAGGTTAACCTGCACCACGTGTCCCCTGCTCCAACCCTCGGCAGGGGCTGGTGAAGCCCAGCTGTCTCAAGCAGTATCCATCTATCCCCAAAGAGAACATAGCCCTGAATTCTTAAGATGCCCATGCCAAATCCAAAGGCATGACTGGCCTGTCCTAATCTTGCTCATTACCTGGTTTTTAAAAAACAAGGAGGAACAACTCTTGGTTGTCTGCTTCTCCTTATGGCTGACGCAGTCCTTCAGGTAAAATCCACAGGAATCCACCAAAAGTTCAATTTTCTGGCGCAGCTGAATAGTGAAAATCCAGATCTCAGGAAAACATTGGGATTGTTAAATTATTTAGATGGATCTGACAGCACTGTTTATTTACAGTCCTTTGTAGTCAAACGTAAATACAAATTTATCTCTACCTCTCGACATGCATTTATTTTTTTCCACTCTTGAGTAGTTGTGCTGAATATCTTAATTGTCATTAAATCAAATAATGCTGTTCAGACCTCGCGAGCTGGAATTAAGCACTCATCATTCTCTACTAAACTTCAGTTAGAGGTTTTAAGAACAGCTGTCTGCAGCCCACATCATCCAGCCTTCAAGCACATTTTGTAAGGCTTCTGCATGCCTCCTCAGGTTTAAAATTAGCAGACAGTTCTCTAATTAAGCAAAGCCTTTGAGTGAGAGAAATATACAGCTGGAAAAAAAGAAAAAAAGCTTTCTATCTGACAAGCCACGGAAAACAAAGGAAGCGTCAATCAATGCATTTGTTCCTCACCTTTCTCCTTCCTCTATTCCATCATTCCTGACGGATGCTTTCCTCAGCTGAGCCACCTCCTCTCACTCCTACGGAGCAGCCCAGGCTCCCGCCTGCTCCCACCACCCACATTCCCATGATGTGTTCCCACAGCACCTCAGTCCAACAGGTCCTGGTGTTCCCACATAGCGTGTGATGGCCGTACAACCATGGGCACACAGACAGCACTTCATCTTGATGATCAGAGAACCATAAATCACAGAATGGGTTGGGCTGGAAGGGACTTAAAGATCACCCCTTCCCAGCCCCCTGCTGCAGGCAGGGTTGACAATAGAAATGTTTCAAAACATTTTCTAGCAAAATACCCTCCCATTCATTTCCTTTTGTGTTTACGGTGGAAGCATTTGTTGTTTTTTGAGGAGGATGTTTAACTTCTTTTTGAAGTGTAGTCAAATAGTAAACTGAAGTACGGTTTTGAAATAAAATGTCAAAACACTTCAGGATCTTGTTTCCTTTCCTTTTTCTCCTGCTGAAAACATTCACTAAATTTGACCCAACCAGTTTGTTTCCTTGGAACAGAAAGTATTCATTACATCTTCCCTCCTTATTCTTTTTATTGCCAGGCTCTGTTAATGAATTTGGTCAATGAAAATTTATAGGAACTCATTTAAGCGACTTCAGCTTCAACAGCTAATCCCAGCACACTGCCCCTCTGCTCCGCTGTTCCATGAATGGAGGAGAAGCATTTGGGTCTCTCTGGTAGATTGCTGAACACAACCCTTCACTTGGCACAGGAAATAGATTGGAAAGAGATTGATTAATGAAGGCAACTAATTGGGAGCCTGGCCTGAGTCAGCCAAGGCATTCCACATAGATCAGCAAAGAAGCAAAGAATCAAATTCAATAAAAAATAGGGCTGAAGGAGCACATTTTTGTATGTCATTATCTCTAGCTATCCTCCACAGCCTTCTGCATGATGCCCTAAAGTCCCATTTTTGTGCAGAATAGTAATACCCTCTTGGAAGATTATTGATAGATATCAGAAGTTAAAATCAGGGGGATGACAACAGGTATGTTAATGCCAACCTAACAGCTTTTTGTAAGAGTGGAGATCTACCACATTCTTCAGAGACCTGTTTGAAGCGATTGCTCACAGAAAGTTACTGGGTACTCAGGACAGCCCCAGGCTCAGAGGTAGCTTCCAAAGATTCCTGTTAGGGGCAAGCTAAGCAACTTCTCTGAGCCTCCTTTCACCATGGATTGAGGCAAGAATACTTCCCCTGTATGCTCCTTCTTTAGATTTCACCTTTGCTCTGGTTCTTTTCACCCGGGTTTGTTGTTTTTTTCAAGATGGGATGAGAGGGAATGGCCTCATGTTGTGCCAGGGGAGGTTCAGGCTTGTTATTAGGAAAGATTTCTTCTCAGGAAGAGTGGTGATGCACTGGCACAGGTGCTCAGGGAGGTGCAGTCACTGTCCCTGGGTGTTTTCCAGGAATGTGGAGATGTGGTACTTGGGGACATGGTTATTGGCAATACTGGTGTGGTGGGCAGTTGGACCCATCGCTTTAGAGGTCTTTTCCAACCTCAGTGGTTCTATGAAACCAAAAAATAAAGAAGCTGAGAATGAAGTTTCTGTTTCCCATGCAGCTGATGAACTTGTTGCTGTGCTCCTGTGCTCCTGTGGCCTAATTGCTTTTTCCTTTTCATGCACAAGCAGATGCCTGTGCCTTCCAGAGCTGTCAAACATGGCAGCTTTCAAACCACAAAGCTCACTTTCAAAATAATTAGCCTCATTATACCATTAGCAGCTCTGATCCTGCCAGAACTGTGCTCCCCACCACTTCCCACGTGCACCTCATGCTCTCCTCACTAGGAAGATCCACAGACTGTTTCACCTCCCCTGGGTGTGAGGGCAAGAACCTGCTGCTCATGTTTCTGTCTTTCAGGTGCTTGACCTGAATGATGTTTATCACTTTCCTTATTTTCCTCGCAGGACATTCAGCTCAACTTTAACAGAATGCCCTGGAGAAAACAAGCAAGAAAATGAGAGGGGCCACCCAGTGCCATGCTGCAGAAGGTGGGCACTTTCCTCCTCACATTAACTGTGTATTTTCCTTTCATTAATGTTAAGCTTGGCACTACATTACATATTGTAATCACCTGTCAATTTTGGCCTACACTTCATTTTTGCATCATCACTAATGCAACATTCATAAGAGGCACAAATGTGATAATTAGAATAGTTGGAAGTGCTCACTTATGTTAAAAATATATATGTAACATCACATTAAGAGCAGCTCACAGCTGCCTACAGATGGGAGAGCTCACAATAGTTTTCTGGTTTTTAAGTAAGGTGTTTCAATTACAGAAGTACAAGAAAGGATCTATTAAGAAAATTCAAATAGATTATAATGATTTTTATAAATGGAGATCTCATAACTGGGAAAATTGGATTTTTTATCAGCTGAAGAGAAACAAGCCATTTGTCTAAGCTGAAAGTGGGGCAGAAGAAACTGGAGCTGTTTCCTTGTGCAATGGAAGCATTGCTATTTTCAAATGTACTGCAGACCAGCGGCCATGAGCCCCAGCACTGGCCTGCACCTGGGTTTTTTTCCCTTACTCTTTAAGCAACTGAGGCCTTTCTTATGGCTGATGGAGAGAGATGGACACCTTTTAGCAAAAGAGTCATCAGGCTCCTAGCATGTGCTATGGTGTCAGAACTGCAGCTATCTGGGAAATTGGCTTTTTTTTTGCAGAATTGTTTGAGTGGGAAGGGATCACTAAAGGCCATCTGGTCCAACTGCCCTGCAGTGAACAGGGACGCCCACAGCTCCATCAGTGCTGAGTGCATCCAGCCTGACCTTGCAGGTCTCCAAGGACAGGGCACCCACCATCTTTCTGGGCAACCTGTGCCAATGCCTCACCACCCTTATTGTAAAAAGATTCTGCTAGTATATATACTATAGTCTATAGTATATATTATAGTCTAAACCTCTCCTCTTTTAATTTGAAACCATTTCCCCTGGCACTGTCACAACAGATGCTGCTAAGAGTCTGCTCTCTTACAGCCCCTCTAAATACTAAAGGGCAGCTCTCAGTTCTCTCCAGAGCCTCCTAATCTCCATGCTGCACAGCCCCAGCTATCCCACACCCAATGGAAATGAGAAACATCCAACAGAAAGGGGCAACAGGAGTTTGTTGAAATCCTCTCCTAAAAAAAATTCCGTAATCATTGCACGTGTCTGTTTTGTGCACGCAAAAGCCGAACTCTGCGTGTGCCAGAACGAGACTTCTTCTAAACAATGACATGCTTTGTAACAAAACTCCAGCATATGCGCGTCGCTGATGTCAGTCAGGAGTGGAAGTTCCTGAATAACAAACCATCTCCGACTCCCGCACAGCACCTGGGGCTCACGCATGCTCCCTCCCACTCCTCCGCCCAGCTCAGCTCCCCGGGCCCCCGCTGCCTCCCCTGTGCTCCATGGGGCTGCTTCCCACGTGCACCCACGTTCTGTCTGTGCTGTGCATCCCAGTGATCTCTGGCAATCCCAGAAGAGGTCTTTGCACTCCAGCCCTCGCTTAGGGCACCCGATGGTGAGATCTGAAAGGTCGTTTTCTCAGTATTTCTGTTTCTACGATATGCATTAACCAGCACATTCCTGACTTTAGGCTGCTTCTCTGTTACGGATCTCTGGATGTGAATTTGTAAAATTTTACACATCATATCATAAAAAATATTAACATTGCAAATTTTTAGGCTGAGCTCATAACTAGTTTGTTTTTTAAGCGTGTTATTAGGATGAAATGTCATCTCACAGATGGTGACATTGGGAGTGGGTGCTTAATTTGAGTAAAATCTCCATATTCTCCTCCGTACAGCCTATGTCTGATGAAAGCACACCTCAGTTTTCCCTCAGTGTGTGTATGGGAACTGCTGAGTCACGGCCTGAACCACTGATTGAGCACATGGGGAAAGGACCTGGTCAGCCCTGGGAGCACAGGTGAAGGTAATTCAGCTGCACGACTGGAAGGGCTGCAGCCTGGCTGCACCTCTCTTAGACCTCATTTAAGGGCTGACTGCCCCTGGGGAAGGTTCTCTGGTTGGAGATCCCCCCTCTTGTGGAGTTTTCCCTGTGAGCCTGGATCTTCAGAGATGGGTGAGCACTTTTCCTTTCCCTTTGTAGCACCTTTCCATTTGTGCTAGTCCCTTTGTTATTGCACCTCATGGATCATCCTTCCACCGCATTGATCTTTCTGGCTGTTGCAGTACAGTAAGGACAGCGCGCAGCTCTGTGCTCCCCATCCCTGTTCTGCCCCTCTTGCACTCCCCCCCACGTGCAGGCTTTAATTCCCTGCATTGCATCCATAGAAAGGTGTTAATCCCTGTTAGCTTGGCTGAAAGCAATACCCAAACAAGGAAGCAGCATGCTCTGCTCATTGGCTGTGCTGCCACTCCCATTGTTCCTCAGGAAGCATGATGCTGCCTTTGCTCATCCACTTCCCTTGCCAAGAGCTATCTCACAGCTAGGTTAGATCGTCTTCAGGAGCATGCTGAGGAGCACAGGAGGCACCTTTGACAGCTTCTTCATTTCAGTATGATTCAGAGATTGCTAAGCCCCCACTTTCTTTTAGCTATATCCCCAAACATCCTGTGATAATGGTCTGTTATCTGGCTTCATCCTTTGTAATCTCAACAGGATTGTTCCTGGACATCTGCTAGTGAGGATGTTGTACAACTGTCACCTCCAAGCTCACAGCCCCTCTGAACTTCTGTGTGCAAGAAGGACCTAAGGGAAAGGTTTCATCTGAGCATCATAGGGAGCAGAAAGGCATATTTGCTGGGGATGTGCAAAAGGAAAAATGCTATGCTCAGTATGAACATTTGAATGCACCTTATTAAAGAGCACATCTCCTGGTATCCTCCAAGCAAGGAGGAAAGAACGTCACTGCAAACAATTTCAGATGTTTTGGAGAGGATGGAGGAAATCCAGGAATCTGGGAAGTACACTCAGAGTTAGAGAAATTTATTTTCTGGTGGATTTCATAAGCAAAAGAACTCTGGGCAATCCCTTTTGAAATCCTTTTTTTTTTACACAGATTCCTTATGGATTGGAATATAACATTCAGAGCTGTATTGATCAATATATTGATCGTGGTCATGGGGGATGTAACCAGCACAAAGAACCTGGTGACCGGCTGGGGGAGAGACACACAGGAATCACTGGGAAAGTCATAATCCTTCCCCTGCTGACATGAATGAGTTTGCAGCTTTATTGCAGAAATACAAGAAGGAGAAATTAATCTTCAGGTGAAACTAGTCATTTATTCTGTTTGACATAAAGTGAAATGCTGGCAAAAAATAATCCAGAAATACATTATGAATATTGAGTCTTTGGACCGACAGCCAAGAGTCCCTCAGGAGCATGTAGTTTGCTGGGTCTGTAGCACATAACATTTTCATTGGCATGACATTCACTTGTTATATTTGCAAATGACAGAACCACCACAACAGACTGTGGTACCTGAATGTGAATGCTGTCTGTCAAGACAGATAATAAATATATTTGTTGGTTGTGTTGTGGCAATATTCATTACATGCTTTAAATATCAGACAGACTAGAATAAACTGATTCACTTCAGATGGGACAGAGAAGTCTAAAGTCAAAGCCTTGTTACTTCTTAATGCTGATACAAGCATTCTCTGTGGCAGAAGTAGTCTAGAAAAAAGCATGTAAAAGCCCAAACACAGCTGCCAGGAAAGAACAGTGGGCAACCCACCAAGGTCAGGTGCAAAGCCTCCCCTCGATCTACAAATGGCCCTTCTATCTACATGAGAATTGCTCGTAGTCTACTTAAGAGATTTCTTCAGAGTTTCTCCAGCACAAGAAATACCAGTTTCTTATTTAAATAAAGAACATTTACAGTGTAAAGCCAAAGCCAGACATTGTCAGCAAACCCCTTGTGTGCTTTTCCTCAGTTTGTGCAGTTTTAGGTCCTTCAGCACGAAGCAGAGATCTTATATTGAGCAGGTCTGTGTTAGGGGTGGGTTCTGCCCATGTTCTGGCCATTCACTGAAGGTAATGCTGAGCTGCCCGAGCTCTGCCCTCTGCAGCCTGTTGGTCTGCTGCTGCCCGAGAGATTCACCAAGCCATCACCTCCTGCCCATCCATTGCCTTGTAGAGCACCTTCCAATTTACAGTGCAAAAGTAAACAAACAAATTCCAACTTCTGAATGCTGTGATATCCCCTCCCTTGGTTGCTTCTGGGCCTCTGTATTTTCCGCTTCAGAGGATGTGATGTGTTCTATAAATCCCTGCCTTAGCCTTTGCCTCAGAAAAATAAACGTTGCTCAGATTTATGCTTGTTCCCATTCTTGAGGAAAAATGAAGCAATGATATATGTAGCAAATGGAAAAGAAAATTGCATTTTAGCCAGCAGGCTTCCAATGTAACTGATTTTGGTTCAACTGCAGCAAGTGCCTGTTCATCCTCTTAAGAAATGAGCCCAGTTTTGTACATACAGTTCTCTGCATTACCCTGAGGCTAATCCAAGGTGTAATTTGCCCAATAATCTAGCAAAATATCACACACCTGCATTACATACTGGTATAAGACACAGGGTTTTCCCTTTTTATGTAAACTCATCTCAGTTCCTATAAAATTGTGAACGTGATGTAGCCTGTATAATAGAAATAATGAGATGTGCTATACTTTGCAGACATTTTTCTTTATAATTTTATTAGCACTCACCCTAAATCCTTAGCTTTCATTTCTGCTGCTGCTTAGAATGGTCTGACAGCACTAATTGTTTTTAAAAGTGAATTATTTATTCTAGCGCAAAGACTGATTTCACTGAAGCTGGTTTTCACACACTAAGCCCTTTGCTTGTGCTTCTCATCACACATTGTTTGTAAGTTTGTTTGTAAGAGAACCCAAATATTTACTTCTGGGTCTCTAAACTGCAGTCCTGTCTTCTATCCAGAACTGAGCTGTCTTAAAACCAATGGCTGAGACCAGGGTTATGTGGGGAGGACAGAGTCAATCCCTCAGCCATTCACAGCAGGGAAACTTAAGATTTTTGTTGGCTCCAGCTGGACTGCTGGCATCTGGTATACATCCAGGAGAGCAGTTTAGTTACCAACACTGAAGTTATTTCAGCTGCCTGTATTGATGCAGAGTTGTTTTCTCGCTGAGCTTTACAGCTTTGGAGTGAGTGAAAATCACTAAGCGAGATCTCACAATGATTAACAGCAGTCTGAAAGCTACAAAACTTGGTAATATATGGCTGCTCAACTTCTGTGGGAATTCTCAAATGTATCAGGATTTCTGTGTGTTCACAGCCACAAAACCAGAACGCTGGCACAGAGGGACATGAGCCACCTGACTCAGGAGGATGTATGGATGAAGGAAGCAGCTGCTCTCAAAAAATGAGACTGCCGTGCCTGGGAAATGAAACAGGGAGAGAGTCGGTCTATTCAGGTAATCTGTTACATAGGCATTAGGACTGCAGAATGAAAATAGGAGAAAAAAATACAGGGACACCCAAGAAATAGTTGCAGATTTCAGCTTGGGCATGCACTGAGCACATGGGCTGCATCACGGCTGAGGCACAGAAGATATCATAGGCCAAATGGTGATTTCTGGACAAGGATCCCATGGTTTGTTTTTTTTTTTAAAAAAAAAATCTTTGATTTGATTTTTCTTTTCTTAATTTGGCCTATATTCACTGAGCTTCTTTCTTTTGGTTTACAGGAGAGCCAACACAGGATTTCTCTCTTGAAGTGAGAACTGATGACACTGATCACTTGAACTGTTTGTACTAACCAGGCCAAAGAAGACCAATACCAGCCAACCATTTTCTACAGTTGGTGTGCCTGGAGTGTAATGATGCTGTTACACAGATAAACTGTGTTGCCATCCAAGGAAAAGATCAGACAAATTAATAACAGGCTAATTTAGTGGCTGTCTCAGGGAAGGCTTCTAGAGGAAACCCTGTAAGTATTTTGGCTGTGCTTTATCTGCCCTTCAAGCCTCCTGCTGCCAAGGTCTTAACTCCTAGCAGGGAAACAGGGAGGTAAGTGTCCAGCCAAACAATGGGGGCACTGCCAGGGCTGAATGCAACCTTACTAAACGAGTCACTGCCATGGCAATTTTTCAGCAAAGGGTGGACGTGGCATTGAGGGACATGGCTTAGTGGTATGGTGGTGATGGGTTGACTGTTGGACCTTGTAATCTTAGTGTTTTTTTCCAAACTTAATGAGTCTGTGATAGACAAACTTGGTCAGCGAGGCTGCTGTAGCAGAACTCCTGCTGAGGCACATTCCCCATGTGTGCCTCCATGAATTCAGCAGCCACAGCTGCTTTGCATTGCCAGCTTGGAAATGCTCAGTTTCATCTTCTCCAGCTGTAAATCATGTTGCTTAATTAATCCTCATTAAGTGTTGTGGGCATCTCTCAAGCTCCGTTAACTCTTTATTTAATTACAGTAGCATAACATATAATGTTCTCTGTTTGAAGGGATGCTTTATGCAATGGTTTAATCCAGAAACTGAAAGAATTAATTAGTTCCTAGAATATGTCTCTAAACGGGTGGCTAATTAAGCCGTGAGTTTATCACAAGTGCCTGGACTCATCAGCCATCATAATCTATTGCTGATACTGCACAGAATCAGAAACACATTGCATGGCTCTGTGGTTCTCATATCTCTGTAGGTTCTTCTGAAGCAGAAATCAGGTAAATATTTAACGGAGATATCTGGCTTCCATCAGCCGAACTCCTGGCCAACAGCCAGACAAACTCACAAGCTGTTCTTGTTCCAGGAAGGTCTCCCCGAGAGCTGCCCCGCTGTACCCCAGCTCTGGGGTCAGGGTTTGACTCCCACAGCATGGTTTCCATCTGTGCAGCTTTCTGCCGTGCTCTTCCTCTGCTGCACTGGCTGCTCCCTCAGCAGCATAACTGGCAGTGCATAGTGGGAACTGCAACGGGGTGATGAGTATTGTCTTCGTGCCCCATCCAGACACAGTCAAACACTCACTGCATCACATGATGAAGAAAAGCACACAGAGCCTGACTGATCTTCTACCCAAATTTCCATGAATGTTCAACGCTGCTTCCTGAACTGAGCAGGGTGGTTTAGATGCATCAGCAACCCTTCCACACGCAGGACACTTGAGTTTTGCTGCTAGGAGACAGAGCAGTACACGATGATCTTCGGAGACTCAAAAACAAGCGTTGAGAGGGAATTACTCCCAGGCAGCATGCAGCTTCCATTCATACTTCAGGAATCAGCTTCATCCAAATGGGGAGAAAATCCAGCTGGCCCCAAGCCCTCCCAAGCATAGATGCTGTTTTTCCGGTACATATGGCAGTACCATTCAAAGAGCTATGACAATGAGGCTGTTTATAGCTCTGAAAATGGCGCTGCCATCTGCACCACGGCCGTGGCTCTGCTCCCTGGAGGCTCAGCACAGGGTGGTCCCAGCCCTGCTCTTCCACCTGCTCCGTTGTCCCACTCCTGCCTCAGAAGCTGGGTTAAATGAGAGTGGAGGTGCGGTTTGGGTTGAGAAATCCCTGCCACCTTGATAGTTATTATTGCCCTTTCCGGATGGAAGCTAGTTTTTGGCTGGATATTTCCAGTTGCTCTTTGAGAAGAGACTTAAAAATTGAAAGATTTGTGCTTTGGAAAATGATACTGACTCTCATTTGTGCTGCTGAGACATCTTCCAAGGCAACTGCTGTGTGACTACAACTGTAACTGCCATCAGATATTACTGTCATCACCCTAAGGCGTCATTAAAGTAGGGAGAAAGACAAAAAGAAGCCTTTCCTGCTCCTTGGTGCTGATGCCCTGCCTGTGGTATCTGAGGAAAGCCCCACCTGGCCATGATACAGCCCAAGGGGACCTCATGGGTTGGAGCAGCCTCCTGGGCACTGTCTCATCCTCCAGGGCAGCCAGGTGGGATGTGACAGCTCCAGCCGCGCTCTGGGACACATCCCACATCCCCCCACTGCCCCAGGCAGCTTTTGGCCCCCAATTTCCACACTCTCACTCTTTCAGAGCTCAATCCTCCTTTTCGACTACAAGATTTTTTAGGCCATGGCTCTGCTTTCTTTAGTATTTCAGGAAACATATGCTGTTAAAGCTTCACACAGAACTGTTTAAAGGACCAAAGGGTGAAACTGTGCGTTTCTGTTGCTCTGTCTCTGTAGGCAACCATGAATGCTCAGCAATGGCTTAGTGAATTTGTTAGAAAGCTTCTCCCTTTTTAACCATCCTGGGGAGCTCCCTCTGATGACCCCAAAAAGTGGAGCTTCCTGGTCTAATGAGCTGGTAAAAATTGTTGCGTTTGGATTCTTTTACGTGTTTGCTGTTGTTTGCTTTGGTTTTAGTTAGTTTGGTTTGAGTTGGATTGGGTTTGTTTGGGTTGGGTTGGTTTCATTTGTTTAACAGCAGCATACATGTGCCAAAATCTTGCAGCGCAGGTTCAAGGTGCCAGGATGCTCCAGCTCCCTGCTGGATTCACAGGGTGACTCCCTTGGGCAAGGGGCTATGAATCTCTGGAGCACATTCAGCTCTGAAGGCAGACTGGAAGATATTCAGTAGAAAATCTCATTTTCCTAAGATGAATTGTTTTTGCTTGTTTGTTTGTCATGTTCCACATCAAACCTCTCTGTTTCCTCTCCCCAAGAATGTCATATTTTCAGAACGCCTCATTTCAACCTTTTCAGAGCAAATTAAGTTTGAAATCTTATTTTAAAGTGAATAAATGATAAACTAGATTTCAAATCAAAATCGAATGTTTCAAAATGTTAGAAATGAAAAAGAAAACAATTTGCCATTTTGTGTGTCTGCCCCCCAGCTAGGGTCAGACAGATTGCCTACTTCTGCAAATTAACTGTAGGATAACCTTTAGCCTCACTGCTATCTGTTCTTGAGTGCATGTGAACTTTCTGCCTAACGAACCTCTAATTATCTTTCCCAGGCAAAGTCCTTAACAAAAGAAATGGAGCAGCCCATGTTGAACAGGGAGGCACCCTCAAACCACAGCACCAATAATGAATGCCATCACAGCAGTCAGCCAGGTTTCTCAGTTCATCACAATTCCATGTTTCGGAATGGCTAAATTTGCTTCCTAATGAATTATTTGGTTCAGAAACTCCTCTGGCAGCATGCATGCTTTTCTTTGCAGGCTCTAACCATAGTGGTGGGGACTTCAAAGGCTGTGATAACTAAGGATAGGCTTTATCAATGTGAAATTGTGAAATAGGGCTCTGTGCACCTCACACCAAGGACAGCAGAGTCTTGTGAAGGAGCCTGCCCAGCCATAGGTCAGGGCCGTGGGTGCTGAGCCAGGCAGAGATGTACAGAAGGCAATGGATTCTGCTGATTTGCACATGAGTGAGCTGGCTTATGACAACAGAGTTCTGCTTGCTGTGTTCTTGCTCCTTCTTGCTTCCCAAAACGGAGTTACTTTCTCTGTTGTCCTATCCTCCAGGGAGGTATTTTTGACTTTGACCAGAAAAACGTGAAAGCCCACCAGACCAGGCTGGGGAGGTTTTTAACTGTTTTGCACAGATATCACTGACTCTATAATGGAAAATCAAGACTTTCCTCTGTGACTAGCAAAGGGAAGGGAACGTGATGGTTAGAAGGAGCAAGTTTTGCAGAGATGGTTCTGCACTCTGCTCCGTCTTGGCACAGATCTCAGTAAAGTTGTTCCTCACTGGTACTGATATGGCAAAAAAAAATAAAAATAAAAAAGAGCAATTGTATTTTCTTCTTTTCCTTCGAAAGCTGTCATTTCTCTTACTGCTTCTGCAACCTCACACGGACACTCTGTCCTGCTGCCACACTGCAGCTACAGAAGCAGTGGTGAGGCATGATGCCCAAATGTTGGCCAGTCACAGGTCTTGCA